ATGGAGAAGTAAGAAACAAGATGTGGTTGCCAGATCAAGTGCAGAAGCTGAATTTCGAGCTATGGCTCAAGGCATTTGTGAGTTACTGTGGCTGAAAATTGTACTTGATGATCTCAAAATAAAATGTGAGGGACCTATGAAGCTGCTATGTGATAATAAGTCCGCTATTTGTATAGCTCATAATCCAGTTCAACATGATCGGACTAAACATATTGAGGTCGACCGCCATTTCATCAAAGAGAAACTTGATAGCGGGTTGATTACCACTCCATACATTCCCACTGGGCGTCAATTAGTTGATCTATTGACAAAGGGACTTCCTTCAGATAGATTTCAAGAACTTACTAGCAAGCTGGGAATGATAAATATCTATTCCTCAGCTTGAGGGGGAGTGTTGTAAATATTAGGTCTTTTATTATTATTAGTATTTGTTGTATTGGGCCAAGCCCATTAGGTCAAGAATTAGGGTTTTTGGTCTCTATAAATAGAGACCTCTTTGTATCATATTATTTCACAATTCTAAAATATATCAGAATACCCTTTTTCAAGTATATACAATTATTCTTTAATCTTAAGTTGGTATCAGAGCTTTTTCGCTCTGGGGATCCGCTTCCGCTAAAACCCTAAGCCCACTGCTTAGGTGTTCTCTTCTACTTTGCCGTGCATTCTTCCGGCGAGTTTTTCTCTAAGCCGTGTGTCTCTCCGGCTTGTTTCTTCAACTGTCAGAACCACTTCCCGCCGCCAACAACCGCCGCTCGTCACTGTTCAGGCCACCGGAACCACTTCCGGCCGCCAACAACCGCCGCTCGTCACTGTTCAGGCCACCAGAGCACTGTTCCGGCGAGTTTTCAGCCCAGACTACCTGCGATCAGGACCGTCTCATCCCGGCGACCAGTTCTGTGGTGGTCCGACCACCGTCGCGTCATCCACGCGCCGTTCTCCTCTGCGCGTGGTGCTCACGCGCCACCTTCAACCGGCGCGTGTGCACTGTTCCGGTGGATTTTTCCGGCCGTTCTTGGACAGAACTTCTCGCCTTCTTCTCCTCTTTCTGGATCTGTGCTTGGTTCTTTGTGGGTCTCACTTTAGACGCGTGGTTCTCCTTGATTGGATATCGTTTGCCTTCGTTTACGGCTTTTATATTCTGTTTTTAAATGGCAGCAGCGTCCACTGATCTCTCGGAGGTTAACTCTCCTTGTCCTCCTGTCAAAACTTCCTCAGGAATCATCTCTACTAATATTGGGCCCATTACATCTTCCAAACTGAAGGATTCTACCTCTCTTGCTGCGAATATAGCTCAGTCAGACAATGCATCATTTGGTTCAGTTTCTCTCTCACTTGCGGACTATGCTGCACTCCAAACTCTTCTCAAGAAGGCTTCTCCTCAGTCTCAACCATATACTGGTAATCCCGTTGCTTGTGTTTCTCATTCTACATCACTTGGCACTTGGATATTTGACTCAGGTGCTACCGATCATCTCTGAGGTAATAAGGAACTTTTTACATCTCTTACTTATTCTGATCATTTACCTTCTTTTACCCTTCCGGATGGAACCAAAGCCCCAGTTCGTGAGATTGGACAAGCTCGTCCGACCTCTACCTTGGCCTTGACATCTGTTTATTACATTCCTGGCATCCCTTATAACTTAATTTCTATTAGTAAGTTGATCCACTCCCTCACTTGCACCATTACTTTCTCTAACCATTCTGTTTCTGTGCAGGATCCGGGTACGGGGGAAATGATTGGAGTCGGTCGTGAGTCACGGGGGCTTTACTATCTGGATGTGCCTCGTCCTTCAGTGGCACTCTCTCTCACAGAATCTCCACAACTTATCCACAGTCGCCTCGGTCATCCAAGTCTTTCGAAGTTGCAGAAAATGGTTCCTCTTTTATCCGGTCTTCAGTCTTTAGATTGTGTGTCATGTCAACAAGGGAAGCATACACGTTCCTCTTTTGCCAGTCGAGTCAATAAACGAGCTGATGCCCCTTTTTCTCTTGTTCATTCAGATATCTGGGGTCCAAGTCGTACCTTGTCTGTTTTAGGTTTTCGGTATTTCGTTACCTTTATTGATGATTTTTCCCGTTGCACTTGGGTCTATTTAATGAAAAATCGTTCTGAGTTATTTTCCATTTATAAAAAGTTTTATACTGAGATTCATACTCAATTTGGTGTTTCTATTCGTATTCTACGTAGTGATAATGCTAAGGAATATGTTTCTATTGATTTTTCTAATTTCTTGGCCACACAAGGTACTTTACATCAAACTACTTGTCCTCACACTCCACAACAAAATGGGGTGGCTGAACGTAAAAACAGACATCTCATTGAAACTGCACGTACCCTTCTTCTTCATATGCAGGTTCCCCTTCACTTCTGGGCAGATGCTGTACTCATCTCTTGTTTTCTCATCAATCGCATGCCCTCATTTGTGCTCAACAATGACATTCCTCATAACCTATTGCTTCCAGATGTTCCTCTTTATCCTCTAACTCCACATGTCTTTGGTTGTACTTGTTTTGTTCATGATCTCACTCCTGGTAAGGATAAGTTAACATCCAAAGCCTTTCAGTGTATCTTTCTTGGTTATTCTCGTCTTCAAAAGGGTTATCGTTGTTATTCTCCTGATCTTAAGCGTTACTTAGTTTCCGCTGATGTCACTTTTCTTGATCAACAACCCTTTAATTCTATTCCATCTCAGTTGTCACAGGTTGATCATGTTCTTCCTGTCCCTTTTCTTGACTTGTCTTTGCCAGCTGCAGGTGCTTCTATTCCAAATGAGCAACCTATTGCTTCTATACCTGAGGACCGTCCACTTCTCACCTATCAGCGTCGCAAAACTATGCCTCCTGTCGACTCGACTCTTGCTGACTCATCACCCACTGTTGTTGCTTCTTCCTCTCCGGATCCTTCACCAGAGGCTCTTCCCATTGCTCAAAGAAAAGGTACCCGTACTACTCGTAACCCTTATCCTCTTTATACTTTTTTGAGCTATGACCGTCTTTCTTCACCTCATTTCACCTTTGTTTCTAGTCTTTCTTCTATTTCTATTCCTAAGACCACAGGTGAAGCACTTTCCCATCCAGGGTGGCGCCAAGCGATGCTTGATGAGATGACTGCACTTCATTCCAATGGCACTTGGGACCTTGTTTCTGCTCCTCCACAGAAGTCTACAGTTGGTTGTCGCTGGGTGTTTACTGTGAAAGTTGGACCTGATGGCCATGTTGATCGACTCAAGGCCCGCCTAGTTGCAAAGGGTTTTACTCAAATATTCGGCCTTGATTATAGCGATACATTCTCTCTGGTCGCTAAGATGGCGTCAGTTCGCCTATTTCTTGCTCTTGCTGCTATTCGTCACTGGCCACTCCTTCAACTTGACATCAAAAATGCCTTTCTTCATGGTGATTTACAAGAAGAAGTTTATATGGAGCAACCACCGGGTTTTGTTGCTCAGGGGGAGTCTGGGAAGGTGTGTCGTCTTCGCAAATCCTTATATGGTCTCAAGCAGTCTCCTCGAGCATGGTTCAGTCGCTTCAGTTCTGCTGTTCAGGAGTTTGGCTTAATTCGCAGTAAAGTTGACCACTCTGTGTTTTATAGGATCACATCTCCTGATAAGTGCATCTATTTGTTAGTCTATGTTGATGACATCATCCTCACCGGGAGTGATCAAGTTGGAATTTGTCAGTTAAAACAGTATTTATTCAGTCAATTTCAGACAAAGGACCTCGGAAAGCTGCGTTACTTCTTGGGAATTGAGGTAGCACAATCTAGACAGGGCATTTCTATCTGTCAAAGGAAGTATGCCTTGGATATCCTAGAAGAGACTGGTATGTTGGCGTGTAAGCCAGTTGACACACCCATGGATCCTACTATCAAATTACTACCCGGACAAGGAGAACCATTATCTGATCCTGGACGTTATCGGAGGTTGATTGGGAAGCTCAATTATCTCACTATGACTAGGTCGGACATTTCTTTTGCTGTTAGTGTCGCTAGTCAGTTTCTTGATTCTCCGTGTGATTCTCATTGGGATGCTGCTGTTAGGATCCTTCGTTACATCAAAGGAGCACCAGGGAAAGGTTTATTATATTCAGATCAGGGAAATACAAAAATTTGTGGTTATTCAGATGCCGATTGGGCAGGATCACCCTCGGATAGGCGCTCTACTTCAGGCTATTGTGTTTTCTTTGGAGGAAACCTGATTTCTTGGAAAAGTAAGAAACAAACTGTTGTTGCCCGATCTAGTGCAGAGGCCGAGTATCGTGCAATGGGAGTTGCTACCTGCGAGCTAATCTGGTTAAAGCAGTTGATTCGGGAGCTCCATCTTTGTGAACAGAAAAAACCCATGACTCTCATTTGTGACAATCAAGCTGCACTATATATATCCTCTAATCCTGTATTTCATGAGAGAACCAAACATATAGAGATCGATTGTCATTTCATTCGAGAAAAGATTCAGTCAGGAGAAATCAAAATGGAATTTGTCAACTCCAATGATCAACTCGCGGATGTCTTCACTAAAGCTCTTAGGGGTCCTCGGGTTGAATATATTTGTGGCAAGCTGGGTGCTTACAATATATATGCTCCAGCTTGAGGAGGAGTGTTAGAATAGTTGTAGAAATAGTTCAGTATATATATAGTCTCACATCGTATGAGCTCAACCTATTAGGTCTTTTAGTCTCTTTAAATAGAGAGCTCTTGTACATTGTAATACACTATGTGATTATTCAATATACAATTATTCTTTAATCTTAAGTACCCGCAAAAAATCCGTGTCATGTCAGTGTTGAAGATTTTGACACGAATAAAAATTCGTGTCGTGTTATGTATTCGTGTCGTGTCAAATTCGTGTCGTGTCAACCCGTTTTGACACCCCTAACTACAACCACAAACAATGTTCTTATATACTTTGATTTCAAAATTTTATTCTATCAGCAATCAAACACAAATAAGAAAAGACATATCAATGACATTTCATTATATAGGATTAAGTATATAGATTTACCTTTATTGGATTTTCTGAAGCTTTCGAAGAAGAACGATTTTTCTGCCTGACAAAAATCTGTAACCAGATCATTCCATATCATATTAGATAGGCAACAAAACTTGACCACCATAATGAAATTGCTGAACTAAATTATTATAGACATATATAGGTCTGTGTTACAATCTTACTCCAAGGTATGGGACATAGAGTCCCACATCGGAAATATAAGGTTCTGGAGTGGGGTTTATATGGACTTTGGGCTCTCCTACCTCATGGGCTAGCTTTTGGAGTAAGGTTCTCCCAAGATTCGTATCAATTGGTATAAGAGCCTTCCACTATGTCTCCTAGTTGTAATCGAGCGGCGTGGGTGGTGACACTGACATAATAGTGCTCGCCCAGAGCTAGTAAAATACTAGCGCAAAGTTAGCCTACTTGGACGCCGGGACTGCGGAGCATGGTGGAATATTATGATCCTACTCCAAGATATGGGACTTGGAGTCCCACATTGGAAATATAAGGTTCTAGTGTGGGCTTTATATGGACTTTGGGCTCTCCTACCTCATGAACTAGCTTCCGGGATGAGGCTCTCCCAAGGTTCGTATCAATCTCTTTCTTTATATTACATGAGAATGCTCACAAATTAGAAAAAAATATCTTAAGCAAGAAAAGTGTACAACAGAAACTTAATGTACATGTATGTGCCAAAAAAGACGGTCTATCTATTGTATCACAAGCAAGAACATAATAGTAACAAAAATAGAATGAAGAAGCTTCGTAAATCAAATTACCCAAAAAAATGTCCTTACAAAAAAGAAAGTAGCCTGCAATAGTAATCACCTGATGCTTAGACTTGCAGGGAAGAAAACGTTGTTGAATTGCTTTCCAATCTGTATTATATTCCATCATCCCCAAGGCTAGTAATCTACAAAAAAATCATAAGGAAGAGATGTGAACTCCATAAGCTTGTCATATGCAATGAGAACAAAACTAGTACTAAATCCAAAATATGCAGATTATCAAAGACAACTATGAAGTGAAAGGGAATTCAATATGTAAGCTTATATAGAAATTACTAATGAATCAAAAAAAGGTTCTAAGCTCCAACAAATGAAACAAAGTGTTGGATCCTTAAAATAGAGTCTTAATTTTCAGAGAGAAAGAGCCGAGAAACAGAGAAGAGACAGAGAGAAAGAACACCTCTGTTTCATTTAACAAATCACAAACAAAGAACAAAGGAGAGAAATCTCCTTCCAAAGGTTTCCTCTTTACAAGTCATTGCTCTGTTTTCAATAACAACAACTCTGCATGTCTCTCTTCTACCCTCTCCTACTATTTAAGCCAATTCTCTACATTTAACAACTTTATCGGCCCAATCACTTCACTTCCATAACTAGACTAACTACCTACTTGTTAGGACCTATCAATGTCATCCCCTTGAAGTTCAATCTTATTCCCAAGGTGGGCATTGGGGACAAGAGAACCTACCCTAGTAAAATGCCAGTCTCTAACATGTCTATTCTGCCACCTCCCCAGCAGCACCCATAGCTTCGTCCCCTGGCATATCTACCCATACAACCTTCCCATTATCATACAGTTGCTCGTCTTCTGTCCACAAGCTCCTTCCTGGGCACCTATGCATCGGCCCATAAGGTTGACCACATTGCTGCTATCAGATTTGAAGTTCTACTCCCTCCTTGCACACCCTTGTCTGAGTAGTGGGATACTCCAGAGACGCACGTTGTCTTCCCCTTTATCATTTATCACGCTGGATAAACCCTATGGGTCTGACCCAATCGACCCTACTTGAGGCACAACTCCTGAATTGTGGCTGGAACTTGACATCGGAGGTCAAAATTGGGAACCAAACCCTTTCCTCCTTCTGGTAGCTCAAAGCTCCTCTTACTCTAGCCATATTGATGGCATTTGTCTCTTCCTTGGGGTGAAGAGTCGTAACTCTGCACTTCACTTCTTGTCGTAGGCCCCCTAGCAATTGCACTTCCAATGTCGCAGAAGCTTATGCAACGAACTCCTCGAACTCCTAGACATACTCCTTTATAGAACCCATCTATTGCAGAGTAGTCAGCCTTTTGTAGACATTGGCCCTGCTCTGTCCACCAAATCTTCAAATCAATATGCTTCCATAAAGTCTTTCCAAGACAGATAGGTTGTCTTTTGCCAATATGAAAACAAGTGTACAGCAGTTCCATCCATGCTAATGAAGGCTAATCACACCTTATCTGGAGGCTTGATCTGCTACACTGTTAGGGAGACCAAAAAAGATAAGGTGCATTGTAGGGAGAGTTATAGGAGATCTTTATCTCCATTATTACTTGCTGAGTCAGTAGCACAAATTCACCATTCAGTTAGTGGGAGAAACGGTTATGATATGGCTGATGTGGTGCAATGTTGGGAAGCTTCTAGAGCTACAATTCTGTTGCATAAAAAGGGATCATGGAAAGACATTCAGGATCTTTGGGACTGGGAACTTTTGGGCACCTCTTAGGTGATTTGGGAGAGACCAGGAGCTCTCGAATTCTCTTGGAATATCTTTTCCTTTTTCTTGTTATTTTACAGTTCTTCATACCTGTTGCTGTACTCTTGCTCTATTTTACTGTTATGAGTTGTATTTCAGTTGAATCAACTATTATCAATATAATTTTCCATGTCTTCTCCTGTAACCTTTAATTCTGGTTGGACTGACATACACCTAAAAAAAATCAGTCCTTGCTATCTATCCCAAAGGATCACTGCCTTTAAATGGGTAACTTGATCTTTTTTTACCAAGAACTTTATTCCTCACGGTCGCATTCTGACCCACAATCCTATGTGTTCCCTAAATACATGTCCAAAGGAGGTGGAACCCCACCGTGAACATGTTTCTCGTTGATGTTGTCATCCTCCTACTTGATGCCCTGTTTCTGCATCCACCGTCCAAGAAATTGTTTGATGCCAACAATCCCATCCATACTTTTCTTGGTTTCAGATAGTCGAGATCTATGATCGCAGGCCACTCTTCAGAAATTCTACATAACTCTCTAGGCTTCAAATCTCGATTCCATTCCCAGCAATGGAGGGAATTTTTCAGAGAGAAAGAGTTGAGAAACAGAGAAGAGAGATATAGAAAGATCACTTCTGTATTGATTTAATTTATTTCATGATCCTCATTAGAAGGAAAGAGTAGGAAGGGTACAAAGAAAAAGAAATAAGGTGTCCAACCAGAAAAACACCACCAAAAAAACGGAGGCATCAGCAAAGAAAAGAAATACTATAAAAAAATTATTTAAAATGACTCAAAATTGCGAGTCATTTCTCTTGCATATACATGCTTGAACATAGGACTCATAAATAGCAAAGAAAAAACACAGAGCATCAAATTCAAGGGAAACATGAGATGATCTACATCCATAGGAAGAAAAAATGTCAACATAAATGTCTTTCACTATAAGAAAATATATTATCCTCTACCTTTGTTCCTGCTTTTTTTTTTTACTAAAGATTTCTTCTATTAAAAAATGCCGAAGCAAATAATACATTACTGCTGTAACCTTGTAACTTAACAAAAACATATAAATACTCCACTACCTAGTACAAGCTATTGCACCTTACAAAAGAACAATCCCCATTTTGATCAATATAAGCAGAAACATCATATCTTCAAATTATTCAAAATCACCCAATTCAACTTCTAAAGCCTCTATTCTTATACTATGGATGGATGCAGTGGAGTCAAAAATGGAAGTCAACCCATTGTTTGGGAGTTTTTTAAGTAATGGAAGAAAAGGTTAAAGAAGGGAACTTGTTAGACATATAAGCCAAAATTGGAGCCTTCACCTTAGCTTAAGCTTATAAGTGAAAGCTCCAAGATTGATTTTATATCTCCAACAGAACTCAAACTCACAAATATTCATACGTCTAATTTGGGGGTTATGGAGTGGAACACTTCTCCCCTTTCTTAAGATGGTCATTTATAATTTTAACCTGCAGTACTATAACTAATTTCAATACCAATAAAATTAAAACGGTAGTATTGGAAGTTAAATTAGTAAAATTCTTCAGTACTCTAACTACTGCACTCCATTATTTACCATTGTTACTTTCAAATGGGTTTTATTAAACAACCATCTCACTAAAAGCCCAAGCTGTTGAGTGAAGGCTGCTTTTAATGGTTTCATATTAGACTTTTCTAAAACACCCCCTCACACAATAACCCATTGGACTTGAATGGTGGATTATGGACAGGCACACCTACCCATGCTAAGAAATTCCACAATTAAATATTTATTAGAAGAATGGAGGTGATGAGGATCAAACTCGTGACCATTTGATCACTGGCTCTGATACCATATTAAACAACTATCTCACCTAAAAACTCAAGTTGTTAAGTGAAGGCCACTTTAGTGGTTTTATATTGACTTCTCTAACAAAGTTTTCTTCAAGACTTTATACCTCGAGGCTACACCTATATTCATACACATGTGAACATGGAAATATATAATGACTGATAATTTTAAGTAAACAGAATAAAGATCGAGCATTGTTACAGTAAATCATTTAATACAGTTGCTTAGCATAAAGGGGAGGCATGCAACTCACTCGTCCTCCGAATCAGTGAAAAGTACCCTATTTACAACTGCTGCTGGGGGTGGCTTGTGTGGGAATAATGCTGGGTTAAACAGGGCCAAAAATCTTTGAGTTAACTTTGCAACTTCCTTTGGTACCGAAGCAATTGACTGCTTCTTGGTACTTTCAACAAGCATGGCAGCCAATGTTTTCTTAGGTTGTTGTTGAAAAGATGAAGTTGGGACTGAATTGACTGCTCCAGAGATGGTTCCACTCGAAACTTGAGTGTTAGCTTCAGTAAATGATGAAGGAAAAGGAAAAAGAGGTTCCTTTTCAACACGTGAGTCACAACCAGATTCAATGTATCGCTTTCGAAACTCTTGGGAAGCTGTAAAAGGAATTTCAAACAGTTGAAAAATGAGGCAATGTGTATATTACTGCTTGAATAATCATGTAGATAGGTTTGCAATATGTAGACAAGTCAGAATAATTGCTTTCCAAATAAAGAGTTAATTCTAGAGAAACAAATCAGTAGTAAATCAGACCTATAATCTGTAACATAATTTCTCCATAATCTGTCCTATCATAATCTGTCTAATAAAAGGAAAAACAAATCTATAATAATTACACAATTATACATTCCTTAATTACAAGACAAACCAATGCCTGAGTATGTAAAAGTCAACTCTTATGAACCAATATAGAATGGAAAAGCAAGAAGAAAGCTTAAAATCTTTGATATGACGTACCAGAGTAAATGTCGTCAACATATGTTCTTACTAAATTAAGTGGAGAAACATCCAAAATAGATAGTATAGGACCTCTTACAAAAGGGACCCAGAAAGAACATTCAGTATCTTGAAAACAACTTCTTTGCCCATTCAAACGTTCAGAAAAACTCTGATTGGATTGAGAAAAGCACATACTCTGTGCATCTTGTGTACAAGCAGATTCTATGTTGCACTGGCCTGGGACAAATTTGGAGATTCCATAGGACACAGATGAGCAAGCAAAAGACGGGGAGAAGCAAATACTAGGATATGGCGCTCTTTTCGAAACTAATACTTCATCACGTTTGTGAAGCATCTCAAAAAGTAAACCTTGAACCTGAGAAGCAATCTGTTTTTGTGAAGGCTCAAGAACCGACAGAGAAAATACCTGAATAAGAAGTTGCACATGCTCATATATCAAACAGTGCAATTGGCCAATCTGCTGGGGAGTAAACCCATTGACAAGACCATTTCCTGAAGCAGAAGATTGAAAGTTCAGAGCAGTTTCAGGCATCAAACCTTTCCCCGAAGCAAGGGATCCATTAAGCCAACTAGGCAAAATGGGCCGCAGTGGCCTCTTGACCTGTCCTAATGTTTTCTTCTCACACTGTGAAGGGACCTTCTGGCGCTTATTTTGCCTAGTCTCTGGTCGTCGTCCAGCTCCATCATTCACTTTTGGGGTTTGTACAGCTGCATTCTCATCGGCATCACTCTCCAGTAACTCTTCAAGCTCTATCTCAAAGTCTGCATCATTATCCTCATCTTCGTCATCAAGATTTTCATTTTCATGAGTTGAATGATCACCACCATCTCCACCCTGCAATACAGCAGCTAGAAATTTTCTATACTCTTCTTCATCATCAGCATTTTGAAGGTCATCATCATCATCAGTCCCTTGAAGAAAAGTCTCCAGCTCATCAAGAGTAAAACTTGCAAGTGAATAACGAGCTCTGGTGCGCATACAGATAGCATCCTCGCTATCTATGTCTATTATAGGACTCCGGGATTTTTTTGTGTTGCTTAATTCTCCTGTCCTAAAACCATTAGCATCAGTCGCACTAGTTAAGTTAGTGTGCCTCTCCTGATTAGTCTCTAGTTGAGAGATCATTCCTGATGATTGTAAAATAATTTCCTCCTCACCATGCTGACAATCTAAAACAGTACAGATTTTCTCCTTAGTGGTTAGCTTTGGTAACTTCGTACCCACAGATAGACCACTATTGACAACATTACCATCCAAACCATCAACTTCAGAGCTCAAACTTGAAGATGCTTCTTGTGAAGGAGTTTCTTTAAGAAAAGGATTAAAATCTGCATCTTCATCTTCTTCTTCCTCATCTTCTTCTTTATCCTTTTCAGGTTTCAAAGTCCTTTCATGGCTGTCAGTAGAAGAGGGTGCATTTGAATTCATGGCAAAGCCAACTTTAGCTGACTGTGCATTTGAGCATGAAGACATTTTAAACAAACAAAATAAGGCTATTGTTCATGCTTAAGAGCCTTAGAGACATTCAGAAGTATATGTAAGAGGCAGTATCCATAAGATGGAAGTTGAAATCACTGGAAACCCTGAACAAAGCATAAAGCATCAGTAAATACAAAACTCATGAGGCTATCCAGTGCATATGCAAACATGTACTTTTGCATTCATCTTCCAAATCCTATGAAGCACGGACACAGATACAGATACCGTACACAACACGAACAAAGACAATGTCCAAAATATAGGACACCAAGGCACAGCACCAATGTTGTCAAGATCAAGATTCTACGCAGGATCAAAAAGGTATGGTAGGATCGAACATCACGGGATCAACACGGATCGCAAGATTCTACTACCTAAGATACAAAATTACTTTCAACCATATATGTGCATGTAAAATAACTGATGTCAATTATCAAACTCATTACACAATATAAAAGTCATAAGACACATAACTCATGTTCCAAAATTGGCTATTTGGCTCTGTTCCAAAATTTCCTAAGAAGACCCCAAATAAATCAGCACCACAAACCACTACAGTACCATTAAGGCAATGTCCATAACAATCACAATACGCGCAGAATGGCAGAATAGATCAGGAATAAAAAATTTGAAATTCCAATGTTATGGACAGTTGAAAAAATGTATAAAGACACCAAATATCTTCCAAAAACTACAATCAGAACCAGAATGGCAGAATCGCAGAGTGAGACACCTTTGGTTTGTGCAAGAAGGAGTGGAGGAGAAGGTTGTTTCACGCAGGGAGATGGCAGAAGAGCCTCCGTCGTCCGTAGCAGAAGCGGGAGATGGCAAGCAGTCGCAGACGTCGGTCGCACGAGGGAGGGGAGGAGAAGGCGGTGTCGCGCAAGGCGAGATAGCCGTTCAGGGACTTACTGACTTAGGGATTTTGTTTTTTCCGGTGATAAGTGATTTTGGGTCATGGGTATTTTTCGGGTCGTGGGTTATTGGGTTTAAAATGTGGGTATTTTGGGATTTGAAGCAAGAGGGAGATTATACTTATTAATTTTTTTACTGTTATTTGTTACTAAATCTTAATCGTTGATTTTTGTTAATCTAACGTTTATAATTTATTAGATCATACTTATTAATTAATTATTAATTTTCAATAAATTATAACCGTTAGATTGACGGAAATCAACGGTTTAGATTTGGTAGTAAAAAAAAAATGCATTAAGATGATTCTTTTCTTATACATTCTCTCGTGGTCTCTCTTAATACATGTTAACATCTTCTATAAAAGGAAAACAATCATCGTTAGAAACCTCTAACTATTGTTATGGATGTAAGTTTGATTACCCATGGCTTCCTAAAATATGAGTGTTTAGCTCTTCATTATTTATTTATTTGATTTGTGGTAAAAACAAAATAACAAGAATAAGCTAAATGTTTACACTCACAGATACAAGATACAGAGGTGCATGTTATTTTTGAACGAAAGAGATTATTTCTTTTGACCTTGTATTGCATCCAAGGGAAGTCCATAGAACAATGTTTAATGAAAAAATATATTTTTTTACATAATAAAGAAATCATTTTTATAAAAATGTTGAAATCAGTGAGTAGTGATTACATGTTGAAGAATAAGCAAATTTGAGTCGTGAGCACAATCAAATCATTCATTCAAAATCCAAAGAAACACGTGTTTATAGAATATTTTAACATGTATTAATAGAGACCATAAGAGAATGTAGAAGAAAAGAGACATATTAATCTTCTTTGATCCAAATCAAAATCATCCCAAATTATTGAGAAAATATCCAAAGAAAATTTTAATAAGAGATGGGAGAACATAAAAGAAAAGAGAGAATTTTTTTTTGAGATTTGGGGCTTAGGACATGTGAGGAGGTTTATCAGCGTTTGTAAAATTTTTAACATAATTGTTGATTTGAAACAATTATAAAGTACAAGGAGTTAAATAAAATAATTAAAAGTATAAGGGGGTAATTTGAAACGAGGGAGGTTATTTTGACTACCAAAAGTTTCTACTACCACCTTACTACCTATCTAATCATCATTGGATTAACATTTTCTCTCTTTTCAAAAACTTTTTAACATTCTCTCTCTTTGATCCAATGATGATTTGATAGGTAGTAAGGTGGTAGTGGACACTTTTGGTAGTCAAAATATCCCCCCTCATTTGAAACATGGTCAAAATTCAATGGAGTAACTTACATTTTAGCCTAAATTTTATAATCCCAGCAAGCTATGTTAAACTTTCCAGAGATGATTTAGTAATTCACTCCCTAAATTAATCAACTAAGCATGTCCCCTAGATCAGAAATTGAGAAATTAAACTAATCCAATTTAGCATGGTAACGCTATAGATTGATAAAATCTCCATGACGCAAATTTGTTATGGACATTGAGGAAGAATTCAATTGCAAATATGGCAGAGTTCAAAACTCAAAAGAAGGCCCAAATTTGTAAGTGTTTATGTATTATACCCACTGTATTACAATTTTTATTCCACAACTACAGCAAGGCCCAAAAGTTTGGAGAGTTCTACAGTGTACCTTGAGTAGTCTGGGTGCAACATGTCTTTTTGCTGGTTACCAGTTTTGATTCTTGTAAACCAGTTTCATTATTTAATTAAAGTGATTAATGTTTGTTATGTTACAGGAGATAATTATGTCATATAATAGAGATAAAACAGTGGGATTCATTATTTTTATTTTATTTTTATTTTTTAAATGGTAGACCCCATCATCTTGTCTATGTTGCATGAGATCTCATGCAACATGAAATAATTATTTCTCTTTAATTAAAGTGATTAATGTTTCTTATATTGTAAGAGATAATTTTATCTCTTATATATATATATATATAAATGTATGAGACCATGTAAAAAGAAGAGAGAAAAAAAGAAAACATGAACTTCATATACTCTTGTGTATTTTATGTATATATAAGATATAAAATTCATCTCCTATAATATAAGAAACATCACTTCCTTAATTAAAAGCCATTCAATTTTTTACTTTTAACCCGTTGATCGAGTCTCTTTTTTCTTTTCTTTTTTGGCGCATTTGAGATGGTCGTTTATCAGGTATAATATTGAACACAAATACAATAGGATTTAGGGGTGTTCATCAACCGATTCAAACCGCGGTGACCGAACCGAAAAACCGAAAACCGATTAAAAACCGCAAATTTTAATTGGATTGGATCGGTTTTTGGATGGGTTGATGAAAACCGATCCAATATATTAATTTCCCTCTACCTACTTGGGTATTTCCCTAATCATAGCCTAAAAATTTCTAAACCCAAGACCCATTAACCCATCAACTGAACCCAAAAAAAAATCTAGTCATATCTCATCAACAAAATTTTATCTTTGTAGAGCTTCATATCTCATTGCCAAAATTAAAAAAATTATATTATAGTTTACTAATGCTTTTGTATTTCAAAAAAAAATTACAAAGCCAATATATACAAAAGATGTTATTTGCACAATAATCATGAAATAAATTTTAGGATTTTTCAAAAAACCGAAAACCGATCCAATCCAAACCGAAAAAAATTGGATTGGATCGGATCGAATTTGAAAAAAAATCAAAACCGAATGGATGATTATATGATCAAACCGAAGAGATTGAATCAGATGATTTTTGCTTCCAAAACCGATCCAATCCAGAACGCAAACACTAAGATCACACGTACACGTACACGTACACGAAGATAAAGTGTTCAACCCGAAGACAGAAATAGCTATTTTGAAGTGTTCATTTGTTATCTTGAGCGCCCACATGTGTTGGGAAGTTTGCTGGCCTCTGAGGCTGGGGTTTTGATGTATTAGTTTTCTTTTTGGGCTTCGGCCCCATTTTATATTAAAAAAAAAAAAAAAGTGTTGATTTGTTTTTCTTCCCTTCTAACTCTGGACACGATGTTTTGGAGTGTTCATTTGATTTTATATTTCATTCTCAGATTAATTCGGTTCTTACCCAAAAATTTTGCCCATACTTTGAAAATATTTGGAGCGAAAAATATATGTTAAGAAATAATATAATCAAAATAATAAAAGTGTCTTAACCTAATAATTTAAGATTTTAAGTTAAATTGATTACTTGATATATGATAAGATGAATTCGATATATTAATAATTTTATATATTATTTCTATAACAAATTATGAAACCAGGAAGACCCACAAAACCTAATCTTCAACCGGCCAAGTTGTCCATTGCCAAGTGGAAACCCTCCACCAAACTCCCTTTCCTCTGATGGTCGCTCGGGGTAGCAAACTCAAGATCAAGGGAGTGGTTGCGATCTTGAAGTCTAAGAAAAGAAAATGGTGGATGAATAAATAATTAAATGTACCAAATTAAAAATAAAATATTAATAAGATAAAAATAATTAAAATTATTGCGATACTTTGTGGTGTTGTTCCCTAATTAAAACATGGCATTCTGTTTATCAAAAAAAAAAAAAAAAAAAAAAAACATGGCATGCTTACCATTTTTTGTACATTTTTATTGAAAAAAAAACATCATAGACACTTAAGGAATTTCATTTAAATGAAAAATTATTTGTACTTTTAAATAAAAAAAATATTCTGTTAGTTTAAGTGGAATAGTAATGTTGCACTTAATATTTAAATTAAAAAAATTCCATCAATAATCTCTTACCTTTCCTCATTTTAAAATTTAAAAACAAAATCCTTTATTCTGAAATGATATAATATTTTGTCCTTTAAAAATAGGGGTTTGATTTTCTCATGTTAAGGGAGAATTCAATTCTCATGTTGTAGAGATAAAAAGCATGTGAGACTCATGTGTTAGAAAAAATTATATGTAGGACCCATGTCAGCACGGAAATCGAAAGGTGTGTAGGAAAATTTGAATTCTCATGTTAAATGAGAATTATAAAACCCTTAAAAATATTACTTTTTCCATAAATACATTCTTTTAATTAAAAAATCTACACATTTTTACTTTAAATTGTATAATTATTTTCGTTCATTTAAATTTGTATATGCCATATTTTTTATTATTTTACGTTTATAAAATTTAATTGAATATTAATGTAAAAATATGAGGATAAGTTTTGAAGTAGTGAAATTGTTACTTATTTGTAAAATCAATCCACTATAATGTCAAAACTACCCTCCGATATATATTTAACGACTTGGAGTGATCATTATCATCTCTGGACCAATTTATTCAAATTGTCGGGTCTTATCGCTCAACCATCTATCATGTCATCTGGCTGTACAACAGAGCAGCAATTAGGGAGCGTTTGGTTGACGAAATTTTTTTGGAATAATAAAAAATGTAATAAATAGAGAAATGATTGAAAAGATAGATAAAGTGAGATAGGTAGACAAATGTAAAAAAAGTTGTTTGGTGAGGAAAAACTTTACTGAAAAATTAGGTAACTTTATGAAATCAACCGTGCATTAAAAGGCAGATAACCGGTTTTTCGAAAAATTCCACCTTCAAATTGGGTTTCTAAACAGTGCGGATATCTATGTTTCTCATAAATCCAGACAAATTGGATAGATGGATTTTTGGTGAAAATATGTTCAAACAAACATGGTGTTTCTAAAAGCTATACTTGAGAAACATAGATATCCGCTGAAAAGCTCCCAACCAAACACTACCTTAAAGTTAAAGTCATAAAATTCGGTTGGCCTTACTGATTTTTAAATTTCCTAAAAAAATTAATTTAATAATTGCCACGAGTTGCACGCACTAATTCGATCGTAAATACTGAATAGCGATCAAATAGAGAAAAAAAAATTATTTTTTTATATATAGAAAAAATATTTATTCTACAATATGAGATGAAAAAATACAGGATATTTAAATAAT